TTCGCCCTTAAAGCCTCCTCCATCTTCGCTTGCTTAGCCCTTAGAGCCTTCTCAGTGCTCTGAAGCCGACGCTCTGTCATATTGTAATGTTCCTTAATTTGAGCAACCTCGATCTCCAGAGCCTTGTTGGTCTCGGCAAGGGCGGACTGGGCCTCTTCACACTCTTGCTTAGCCCTTTGAACCTTCTCCAACTCTAGCATGGGCTCCAAAGCCAGCCTTCGGAGCATCACCATGGCTCGGGCTTGAAGCTCTGCATAGCATTGCCACAAAGACTTGTGGCTCAGGTCATTGATAATATCCCTCCCCACATCAGAAAGTAAGTCCGGGGCCACCACCAGTCCAGCATGAACCCTGTTGGCCAAGAAGGAGTCAGATAACACCGCCAGGGCGGTCACAGAATTTGAAGAGCTACAGGCCCCAGCCATTCCAACAACTCGGGCATGTTTGCGTATCCCGTCAACACCAGTCAGCCCAACCGAGTGGAAGTGCTTCCTTTTTCTCTCCTTCTCGCCTTCTTTTTCCTTGCCCTTGTCCTTACGCTTTTTTGGCTAGCCTTCAGCGAGGACAAAGTCTCGGGGAGGAGAGCGAAGCTCGGTTACCTCTGGGACATTGTCGAGTTGGGGATGGCGATGCTCTTCAGCTGACACGTCACTTGGAGTTCGCCTTCTCAAACCGTGACGATAGGTCAGCATGTTTACCCCCTTTTGAGCCATTAAACCTACAACAAAAGTAAAAAGTTAAATCAATACAACTTGATTCAAAAACTAAGCTATAAAAACGAACCATACCATCCATATCCAGACATGGATGAGGGAACTTCTGTAAGAGGATGAGGGCTCAAGCAAGAAGCTCTTGGGGAAGAGACTTTAAGTATTCCAGGGCCGACACCTTTTCAACCGACAACATGTCCTCGGGTAAAACGTCATACCGACGAGGTACCCGAGTCCAGTGGAAGGGGAAAAGTGGATTGCCTTCACTATCAAAAAAGTATTTTCTACCTATGGAGTGCACGGTTACCTTGGAAGTAACCAGTCTTAAAACCCTTAAAAGATGAAGCATAAAGCTTGAATAATGGCAATTCAGGTTGCCTTATTAAGAATACCCACCTAGTTAAATCTGAAGGACGAGTACAAAAGAAATGAAATAAACTTACAGTAGGTTCTATATAATGAAATTTATATAAGATTCTAAAGGCTTATATAACCGTCCACCGATTCGGATGGAGTTATGTCGACGCTACATTCAAAACCCTCATTACTCCCATTTAGAAGTCGTCAAAGGGTAGCCTTATACCTAATTCTCTAAACATATACTCGTATACAAAGAAGGTGTCGGCCATTCCGACACCCCCTAAAAAGACAAAATCAGGGTTCTCAGTTTCATCCCCTAGGCATGTACTGAGAATTATGGGGTATGGATTTGTACCCTCCCACAGTGAAATGTCATAATGGTCTACAAAAAGTTGAAGACTCCTATTTTTCCTAAAGTGGGAGAAGTAGGCGGCCACTTCATTGTGAACTCACTCATATCTGGGAATCATATAGAGAGAAAATACTGGTCTTTTCCTAGGAGGACAAATACTTGGAAGGAGTTCGGTAGATTCAGAGTCAGTAGCATTCTCTAACTTGGACTGTTGCTACATCTTCAATCCCTACTCGGCATTGAAGAAACTCCAGCACCCCTTTCGGTTTCATCTACAACTTCTACTTCGACAGTAGTCGGCCTCGAAGCATTTGATAAGGAATCCTCCCACTCAATGGAATCGGCCATGAAGAAGAGTTTAAAAGTGAAAGGTAAGATTAAACTGAACGTACCTTGAAGTAATTTGTTCAGAGGAAAAGAAGAAAGAACTCTTGACAACCAAACACTTGAATGTCTCTCGGTTTAGAGCAATAATAGATACCTCTCGATTCATAGCAAAAGTGACAAATGAAGCCTGGACCACCACGTATTTATAAAACCAAAGGAGTCGAGCATACGAAGCGTCACACCTCTTCCTAACCGTCAGATTTTTCCCAGATCTACGGATGTGATTGCGCACCCTTTCATTTCAGAGGCATATAAAACGAGGAAACCTTAAATGAAAAAATATCTCTGTCACCCTTTCGCTTCATATCATTATTCATATTATTTTTCTATTTTTTATTTTTTAGCTAAATATGTATTCGGTTCGTGTCTCCTCGTTATATTTATCTCTCCATTAAACTGAATACCTCTTCGGTCTTGCTCACCTTTTCACCACAACCGAATACCCCTCTTGGTACTCTTAACACTTGACTTAAAACCGACTACCTCCTCGGTCTACTTAACTCTCCATTACAACTAAGTACTCCCTCCGTACTCTTATCTCTTAACTGAAACAGAATACCCTTTTGTCAACATGCCATGTGTAAGTATATTATTAAAGCCCTCGCATCGTATCTCTTTGGGCTTGGGGAGCTAGTGTACCGGATAAGACAGTACTCGATCTTACCTACAAAAAAAGGGAACCGAGTACCCCCTCGGTCAGGACAAGCCGAATACCCTTTCAGCCAGGATTAAAGATAATTAATCCAATTAAAGGTAACAACCAAATTATTAATCCTCTCTAATTAAAGGGCCAAAACCAGGCTAACTTAGCAAGCCCATTAGCCCATAATACTGCCTATAAAAGGAAGGTAAGAAATACAAGTAAAGGGTTAACTTTTCAATATTAAATAGTATTTATTTCTCAGAACAGAATCCTGACTTCAGCATCGGAGTGCCTTTTGCAGATACACTCCACACATCAAGCCACGTCAGCAACGGTCAGAAAGACTAGTGTCCCCCTAGCAGAAACAAAAAATATTCTAACGAATTTTTAGAAATAATAAAATTTCAAAATATACAAATTTATTAAGTTTATTTTATAATTGAAATTTTTTAAAATTGTCTTAAAAAATATAATTAACTTTTATCTAATATACATTTTTTAGAATTTATAATTTTTAAGTTATGTTTAATTAAAGTAAAGTATGTAATTTAGATGTTAATTTTTTATGTATATTATTTTTTATGCTTTTATATATATATATATGTGTGTGTGTGTGTGTGTATGTGTTTAAGTATAGTTTTACCTATTTAGTAGGATCCTACGATCTATTTTACAACGATTTACGATTTTTGACCCTCTTTCCGATCATAGGTAAGATCCCGATCTTGACAACATTGCTCATAGGAACTATAGCCAAGAAAACATGAATTGATGCCATCTTCACCACTGGAGAGAAAGTATCACTATAGTCTACACAATACACTTGTATACAGTGACAGATATAAGGGGGGCAAGGTGGGGCTTGGGCCCCCCTCTTATAATTTTTCTTCCAGTACTATGTATATATGTATATATAATATTATATTTGTTTGTTATATTACCACTAGTATGGCCTCACTCCTCTCAGAATGAAAAACATTAGTATTGACTTTAAGAAATTAATAAAAAATTAGCTATTTGAGTACAATTCTCCTTGGCTCACCAACGTATCACACTCAACAACATTACTATATTAGTTCACTCTTTGCCTTTTGTATTAGGAGTTGAACTTGAAAACTTCTCCAATAAGCCAAGTGAAAATCTCATTTTTTAAAAATTTTCTTTTAATTTCTATCATCAGTGCTTATCACATTTCAAGTTTTTTTTCCAACTCCAAGCAATAGCGTCTCAGCGAGACAGACAAGAGTGGTTGTGTCTCCACTCTTGCAATAACTCAGCCCCCCCTTTGAATGGTTTCTAGATCCGTCACTACTTGTATATATCATTTTGCCACGGGATGAGCTTTTAGTCAATCCACTTTCCCATTAGGGCCACTTTTGACATTATAAACCATTACACCCACCTACAACCAACAATAGATTTTCCAAAAGGGGGTGCAACAAGTGTCCAAGTTGGTTAGACTCTAACACTTGCATCTCATCAATCATTATTTGTCGCCACCTTGGGTGGGATATTTGCTTCTACAATTGATTTAGGAACGGATATAGAATAAAACGTAGAAACAAATACACAGTAGGAACAATACAAACAATGGTTAAGAAACAAAACTATAGTGGATAGTTTACCATTCTGAGAAGCAATGGGCTGATCATTAGCAATAAGGGAATCCAAAGCAGGAGACAAAATTGGGGCAGAAGCTGAATCACTGGCTTCTGCAGCAGGGATAATATCAAGTACAACTGAATGCGTGTCATTTGTACATGATGCCAAAATGACATAAAGGGGGAGACTTGGCATGGATGGTCCCATGGTGAGCAAAAAAGAGGTATTTTGCACCTTTTGATCAGTAGAGGGACAAAACATATCCAGGAGGGGCTAACAAGTTCAACAGGACCAGCAGTGACGTCAACATACTACAGGAAGGGGATGTGTGGTACATGCATGCCAGCGACATCTGAGACAAATGCTAGTGGCAGTGCATGGAATAGGGTCTGACAGAGGAACTTCTGTCAATGGCCAGATTGGCCACCTCTGAGGTAGACTGAAGTGGCTCTGGTCAACAATTACACAATTGGGTCAGCCCCTTTGTTGGCACTTGGCAGCTGAGAGAGAACTAGGGTTCTGATATAATAATAACTACTAAAAGAACCAGAATGCTCTGAATACCAACTTGAATCTGAATAATGTGTGTTTCATTGATTAAGAGAGCTGTACATTGTTTATATACAAGAGGATTAATGGTTTAAAAGTATGTCAGTTAACCCCAAGCTAATGAATAAAAGATTTTGTGAATGCTCACATGACTTAAAGGTGAAAACTAAACTATCATCATTTTACAAAATTTAGGATCTTCAGTATCATAATGGAAATGTTTCTCTTTCCTGTCAAAAACTCGAACAAAATTGCAAGAGGGATAATTCTTAAAACTAACATCTAACATCTAGAAATCACATGGATGGGCACAGAAATATAAATTTTCAGATTTAATTAGAGTGAATTTTAAAATGTCAATCTCAAAATTCCAGCTTTTAAATTAACAGAAGCTTACAAGTTGTCTCTTCGTCATCCTCATCACACCATCTGTTCCAATCAACCTTCAGGTATGGAGCCGGTTTCTCTTCAGACTTCAGGAGCCTCTTCCACCAACCTTTTTCTCCTTTCTGAATTGAGCATAGTATGTTTCTTAAGCCAGATTTAGTTTTACAACCCTACATAGTACCACCATAATGACAAATTTATGAATAAGACCATCAAACTTTTCCAAAAATTTGATACAGAAAAGAAATTGAAAAAATAGTTAACCTGGAAGAGGCAAAGACCAGAACAGTTGGCATTCACATTCCATAAAGAAATTTATTTTACCACAAGATCTCTAATTTGTGGGATAATATTTGAGTAGTTTTCAGTTTTCACATTTTATTCAACTACTATAGAACATTAAACAAGAACACTATTGAAACACAAATATATTGCACATTTCATAAATGCGTCATATAGAAATAAATCCCACACGCTATTTATCAGCAGGTTTGATTATTTTTCTTGAATAACATATCATGCTTCAGAGGGTGCTAAATAAACCATGTGTAGCGTAAATAACCATTTACTTGAGAGAGCAATAAAGACTCAACAAAAAACAGCAATTGTGGCCAGAGCTATAGCCATTAAACCATAAAGAAATAAGTGATAACAGAAAAAAGCAACAATGTGATAAAGCAGATGATTAGAGGACGATAAGAGAAGGAAGCAAAGATTAGTTTTCCACTGGAATTATTGACAAAATTTTGGGTGATATTAGTGCACAGCAAAAATCATGAGACAGTAATCAATGACATAGTATTATGTCACTTTTCATAAAAATAAATAGCTAAAAATGCTTAGGTTGTAAATAATTCTTCTTCCTCTATTGTCACATTTAAAAGCTTAAGTTGTTCGGTGAAGGCACAAAAGTAGTTTAATATCTTTAATATTCTATAACTTTAGTACTTGACAATGTTAACTGAAAAGTACAATATATAGTGTACATATACTTGCACACAATAATGCGGGGGAAATATTCAAATCTCGTCAACAGCAAGGGTTGACAGACCTTAGTTTCATGTTAAAAATAATAATAAGAATATGCATACTCAGGGATTGTATTCAGGCTTTACAGGCTTTACATAAAGTCAAGTGAATTAACAGAAAATATTCATTGTAGACCAAATTAGAATAGTGAAACTATAAAATTTGTGGTGGGGTTAGATAATGGTAGGTTGAAAAAGTTTTTACAGAACAAGATTAGAAAGAATCATGTCATCCACTACTGTTTAGCAAATATAACATCAACTTCAAACCATCCAGATAAACACATATGCCAAACAATCCAAACGGGTAAGGAGAGCACCATTCCTTGTGGTCCAAATGGTTAAAGTAGTATCTAAAACAGAATAGTATTCAATGGACAAAAAGAAAAGGAGAGATCATTCATGTGAAGGCTCCAAAGTCCAAATAATTGTAATTAGAAAACCATATAACCGGCTCCAAATCCACCAAATTTCAGTCTAGTCCTCGTCGTCACCCTTATACAAACAACAAAACATAATTTCACACAAAGCAAACACAGAATCAAACAACAGCAATGCAATATCTCTATGTCATGAGAAAGTAAAACCAAAATCAAGAGCTCTGAGCTCACTCACCTCAGGTTCAATGGATCCATATAGTTCTAAGCTAAAGCTATAAGATTCATCTTGAACTCCAGAAGCAGAGAAACTAAACAAACCCTGAGGCTCACACTTCACAGAAACATCCTTGGCATCAGGTAGAGCAACAGTAAGGTAAACCCTATCAGAACGCTGTGCCCACAGAACTTCAGGATGCCGACTAATAACACAAAATAAAACAAAAAACAAAGCAATTTTCAATGCCATGATAAATAAACAAACAAAGGAGTGGACATTCCGCAGAATATTAAACTCTTCCAAGTTACCAACAAATGGGACAATAATATTCCAAAAATCTCACCAAAGATGGGATTTTGATGTTGGAAACAAATGTGGCAAAGGCTACAAAGAAATGGGGTGGTGATAAAATTAAGTGATCTTGCAAGTAATAAAGTTTTCTTTCTTCTTTAACAAAACTTAGAAAAGCTTTAAGATTTAACTAGTAAGTTGAAGAGATGGGGAAAAAAATAAACAAGAACCTCATTTGCTGAGTGAGAAGGAAGATGGCGAATGCTATGTGTTTGGAAGAAGATGACAGTGATGCCTTCAAGAGACAACGTCAAGCTTTGTTCTTGGCGTCTTTGTTGTTTCGTTACTTCTCTCTGCCAACCTAAGTTTTTATTTTTTTAACAGGGTTTTTTTTTAACTTATTCTTATTCTGTATTGCGTATTTTTTTATTATTTTTTGTCAGGATTTTAGTTGAGTCGAGATAATAAAAATTTAAATTAAAAATTATATATAACTTTTTATCGTGTTTAATAAATTATTTTTTTTTATAAATGCATAAACTTTAATTTTTTTATTTTATAATATGTACTCTTTTTTTTGTAAGAGATAAATCTGTGTTATCCTTTAAAATGTTTTAATATAAAAAAAAGAAATATATATAAGTTTTTATAATAATAAATATAAATATAAATATATCTTATATTAATAATATTTAAAATAATATAGATACAGTAGGCCTTATTTTGTTAAACTTCATTATCTCTTATAATCAATATTAATTATATTTTAGACTAACAATTTTTTATACACGTATATTAACTATATTATATTTAAAATTTATTAAAAATTACTAATGAAAGTTAATTCAAATGGCAAGCGACTCAGTATCGTTTAAATAAAATTTTATATTTGAGTCTTTATATCAACCACATTAAGGTGTGTGACCAGAGTCGAAACCAGATTAAACTAAATGAAAAACCAAAAAAATTATTAAAAATTTAGTATTAAAAGTTATGTTTAATAAATATTATATATTCTTAATAATAATATTGTAATTCTTATTTATAACATATTGATCAAATATATATATATATATATATATATATATTATGTTACTTAAATAATTTGTAAGCTATATTAAAAATATAATTTATAATCAAATATTAAATAAATTATTTGTATATACATTTAAAATTGATCTATTTTATCTTTTAACCAAACTCACAAAGTTGTTTCTTAAAAAAATTTTGACAAGTATATTAAGTTTTCATTTTAATAAAGGATTAAAGGTTGTGGTCTTCATAAGGATCCGTAAATATTTTTATAATTTTTATTATCTTATTTAAAACTTTTAACAAAGATATTAATATTTGCACAAATTGTTCATGTATTAAAAAAATTTAAAAAGTAAGGATTAAAATTAACTAGGATATAAAAATATTAGGATTTGAGCTGAAACTAGATTTCATCGTTTATCCTCTTTGATATCTTGAGAAATAAATATTTAGAAATTAATCTATATAAAAGTTGATGTACTATCTTTTAGTTCTCTTATATTGATTCCTCAAAATACAAGGTTTCAAAGAGTATTCAATGAATAATGATTTCTCAAATATTTAATGAATCCTCCAGAAATAAAAATAAGAGTTAAGAAATAATTGATATATTGAAACGTATATTTAATATTACAGTACACCAAGTGGATTTCATTCAATTCAGTTTCTAAGGTTTGCTTTCCAACTAAACCTTGAATCTTAAATAAAAATACTATTATTTAAAATAGAATCAATCATTAAAAATAAAATGAAATTACTAACATCTATAAAAATAGATAATCATATATAAATCATCAAAATATTTTAAAGTAGAAGATTACATCCAATTCCAAAAAGTATTTAGCCACTTATGGTTTTCATTACAATAAGAGAAAAAAAGAAAAAAGGGACAAAGAAAAGTTCTCCAATATTTTCCAAGGTGTGCTCTAACCTTCCTCTTGTTAAGTTCATTTCCTACTCTTTGAATCTCTCTTTCTTTCTTATTCTTCTTTCTTTAAAAGTGAAGTAAATACATTTTCACTAAAGCAAAAATCTAACAGAAACTTAAGTCTGCTTCATACATTCTTGCTCAAGTGAGAGATTCTCTCTTGAGTAAAAAAGATTAGAAGCAAATTTTTTATTAACCTTTGACTTCCATCTTTATTAAACTTCTTTAAACCAAGAAAGTTGACAAAAAGAAATCTTCATCTCAATCTCTAAAACAAATATATTATTTTAATTCAAATTATTTTAAATTAAAATATAAATTTACTTTATTGAAGTAAATAAGTGCTCAAATTCATGCAATAATTTACTAATAAAAGTTAGCACTTATCATAACTGATATCAATATTTTTAATCATAATAAAATTTTTGCATATACTATATTAAAAATACTAAATATAAACAAAATTATGATAAAATCAAATTTTATTATAATTATCAACTTTTGGTTTATTGAAAATAATTTTATATTTGTAATGAAATCTTAAATTTATTACATTTAAATTTTTATAATATATAATAATTTTATTTAATATAATTTATATGTTAAAATATTTTTTTAAATTAAAATAAACCTAACTCAAACTTTTGAATAAAAGTTGAACTACAAGGTGCCTTTGAATTTGAGCGGGTATGGTACCTTTGTGATGTTGTCTACTAAATTAACAACATGTGTATAAAATATAATTACACAATAAATGAAGGTTATTTCTACAGTGCTTGTAAATTAATAGGACATTCTTGAATCCTGTTAGAAGGTCTACTAGAGATCATAAATTGTTGAAGAAAGAACAAGATATTTTTTTATCTTTTTAGGCAATGAAAAATAAAAAAATAGTTAATATATTCAAGATAATTATATATTTACAAAATATCATCTCAATTCATCCTATTTCATCATATCTGAGATGTGATATGGTTCTAAAAGATAAACTAGATAGTTCCAATTAGATTTCATTCTTGAACAAAAATCTAATAGACTTATTGGAGGGAAGGTCCCATTGGCGTGCATCTAGTCAGAATTGAACCTACAAATTCATCCTCTCATGTGAAATTATTATTACTATTAATTTTATATTAAATATGTACAATAAATAGTGGGGTTAGTGGTCTATTTAAAAAAGGACATAAATATCTTTTAATCTCTAAAATATTAAATAAATCAATGTTAATTTAAAGATGATAGAAAATATTCTCTTAACTTTACGAATACCATAGTAAGTATCATATTAGAAAATAGTCCATCATAGTCATTCATATAAGATTCTCAATTTATGATCCTTATTACCTAATGAGGTGTACCTTCTAGAAATGTTGAGTTGTATTAGTTGTTACAATTTTTTACTATATCAGAAATATTGTTAGTCTTTTAACCTTTTTTTATCTTATTTATATATATATATATATATATATATATATATATATATATATTGTATAGTTTTCCTTTTGCAAAAATATACACAAGAATAGGATTCATCAATTCACATTGTTGTTTTTTACCTTTGTTAATTTTTTCTCCCTTACATCCAAATTGTCTTATGGCATTAGAGCTCTGACTCGAAGCTTTGTTAATACCTACCTGTTTCAATCACGTCTGTAAATAGTAATACATCATCCTCACCTACCACACAAGCTAGTCAAGTTGTAAGTCAAAATTCTTCATATCCAACTCTTTCAACAATTATTGTTACACTAGCTGGTCAAGATCCAAGTTAGAATCCTTCAAGTCCCTACCATATTCACCTAAGTGAAACCCCTCACCGATCATTGTTGCACCATCTTTATTTAGTAACAACTATCATTCTTGATCAAGATCTATTTGAATGGCCCTTATTTTTAAAAATAAAATGGGATTTCTCGCTGGCTCTATTCCCGTATCAGAACCCACTAACCCTTTGTATCCTTTATGGGAATGTTGCAAAATCTTGATCATGTCTTGACTCCTAAATTCCTTGTTCTCATCCATTGCCCAAAGCATTATTTACTTTGATTGTAAAATTGATATTTGGAATTATTTGTGAGAGCGTTTTTCTTAGAGCAACTTGTTGCAGATTGCACAAGTTTAGAAAGAAATTTACAGGCCCAAGCAAGGGTCACAATCTGTGACTAACTATTTCACTAGCTTATGATCTATATGGGAAGAACTTGACAACTAACGTCCAATGGCTCCTTGCACATGTGCAATGAAATCTTCTCATTAGCAAGACTTCATCATTTAGTTTCTCAAAGGGCTTGATAAACGATTCTCGATGGTATGCTCTCAAGTCTTACTCATGGATCCCTTGCCATCAACAAACAGGGTCTTCTATGTGGTCATTCAACATGAGCACAACAATTGAGCCCTATTGTCACCTTTGAAGAGCATAATACCTAACATAATACCTCTGCTAATGTTGTTGAACACTATTGTCCACCTACAAATAGGGGGAGCAACGTCTCTCATGACGGTAGTGGCACAATCAATGTCTACTATGGTAAATACAGGTATCCACCTAGCCATCCTTGATACCTAGGAAGACCACAATACCACAATTATGCCTAGTGGCAGATCCAAGACCCTAAGGTCAGGGGATGCAAAAATATAAAGGGTACAAAAACATAAAATTAGGGGGTGCAAAATATAAAAAATATAAATATATATATATTATTAATAATAATTTATTAAAATTAAAAAGATTTATAACCCTAAACATAGAAAGATTTATGGCTCTTGCACATGCGCAATGAAATCTTATCATTAGCAAGACTTCATCATTTAGTTTCTCAAAGGGCTTGATAAACGATTCTCGATGGTCTGCTCTCAAGTCTTACTCATGGATCCCTTGCCATCAACAAATAGGGTCTTCTCTATGGTCATTCAACGTGAGCGCAACAATTGAGCCCTATTGTCACCTTTGAAGAGCATAATACCTTTGCTAATGTTGTTAAACACCATTGTCCACCTACAAATAGGGGGAGCAATGTCTCTCATGATGGTAGTGGCACAATCAATGTCTGCTATGGTAAATATAGGTATCCACCTAGCCATCCTTGATACCTAAGAAGACCACAATACCACAACTATGTTGTGCCTCTAATTCAACCTCCATGAACAATATTGCTACATATAGGGTTCATGAACTGAAAAAGGAAAGCAAGAACGAATACTTGTCACAAAAAATTTAGAGAAAACTAACTAGCAAATGTACTATGTAGTTGTAACAAGTAATAAAATTTGAAAATCAATATGAGTCTCAAGTATCATCCTCAGGGATTAGGTCTATCAATTACCACTTCATAAATTAATAACTAGTTGAGCTAAACAAATTTGTAGAGATTTTGAATCATTTAACAAACAAAAGCAAT